TCGTCATAGCCACGAAGTTCACGGCCTCCTACCTACGCCGGCGGCGTATAGTCCGCATTCTACACGCCCATCCCCAAGCCATGGATTTCGGCATTCTTTCAGTTCCGTCCAGCAAGAACGTCCGATGACTCAAGATACCCACCGAGAGCCATAGTAAGAGTTCCTAATCAAATAGTCTAATATCTTATCACTCTCGTCGTTGAAGGAACTGCTAACGCTAGTATTCTTGAAGTTCCCCCAATACCCCCCAGTCTCGTATGGAAACAATACAAGCTCTCTTATTGCTATTCGCCGTCGGTCTCTGGGGTGCTAAAGCCATTCTCCGTGAAGCCCTGTCGCTCCAAAGCCTCCTGGCTTTGTTAGTGCGCGAGGAGGGATTCTTGTCGGAATCTACGCAAACAGCCGACTGGGAGGCATGGGTGCGAATAGAAGGGGCCAATCGCACAAAACTCGTTACCTACTGTTTCTTCAATCTGTGTAGCATCGCGTATAATATGCCGCCTCTGCTACTCACTTCCGAACTCAACCTTATCCTTCCCCATTCATCGAAACTCTGGAGAGCAGAAACATCTTGGCAATGGCAAGAAGCTCGCCAGTCCTTCCCGAGTATGGATATATCCCTCCAAGACGCCTTTTCGAGACTATTCAGCCGGCCACCACAAGGACCTCCCGCGTACATGTCTTCTCTAGGCAACTATATTCTCATACATGCTATACTGCAGCACATCTTTCTCCTAAAACAGACATCCTTCAATGCGGTGTCGCCATTTGGTGGGCTGCGTCAAGATGATGTTGAAGATTGCTTCCAGGCTTTGCGTATCTGGCAGATGAGTTTCGAACAACACCAAGCTCGTGTAACAGAAGGAGGTAGTCATCAAAATGGTACGGATGTACTCCCCGGTGGTCCAGTCGCTTACAACTCGACGGCACTCTGGCGACTTGCTTCCATACGTCTATACACCGACCTGAGTCCCAGTAGAACGCTCGAAAGTAGAGATGCGAGCCAGATCGCCCAAGCGTTCCACGATGCGCCATACCTTGTTCGAAGCGTGCGAACCAACCGAGCGGTTTTCCAAGCTATCCATGCCCTGTCCATGTTAGTTAAGGTGGGAGTTAACTACGTAGCGAGGAGGAAATCATCAGAATGGAGCATGCAGCATTCGCGTAAGTCATTACACGCTAACATGAAATAGAGTCTTCCGAGTACTTGTCTAACCTGAGCGTAGTATGCAACCTGGAATGCGCTATACTCCTTTCGAAATGGCTGATGACCCTGGCCTCGATCGGCCCGACAGGTGCTCCTCCGGAGCCCGACGAGCGAAACCTTCTTGAAATGTTGCGTCATATGCTCGACGAAACAGAGTTCGCAGTGCCGATCGATCCATCGCTCTCGGGAGGGATTCCAGGGCATAGTCCGACAAGCATGGACATGGCTGCCAATGACGGTACGAAGTTACGCCAGCTTGCGGTGGCTGTGATACGCCTGTGGGCGGAGACATTTAAGGGGTCGCATATTTTCGATATCGTCAAAGTCATCGGGGCCGGACTAGAAGGGTATGCCGATCTGATAGAAAAGCCGCGAGACAGAACACCGCTTGGCCGATTGTCGTCAAATGCAGGACTTGGGTAACTGGAGACCGACGAGTCTCTATAGTGCTACTCGTTAACGTACGATTGGATGATACTATATGACCCACGCTGCATGGTCAAGAAGCCTATTTCGCTCCTCACGATAGTCCTGGGTTCGCGTTACTAACGAAGACCATGCAACGTTGAGGGTTGGTAATTTGTTTAAGGACCACGCCGACCGGCCCATTTTTCAACAAACATAGCACTAAAGCTCTCGAGGTCTCATCGCATGGCGCGATCGACCAGAGGGCTATTGTAGGTATTTTACAAAAGCGTACGAAAGGTATGGAAAGGGGGCATTTATGCCGATACGGACAAGATTGAGTCCAGGGGAGTTTGCGGTGATAGAGGCGCAGTGCGATTACTGGGACGAATTAGGGCGTATGTCTTGAGCGGGTAGCTGGTAGATGGACGTTTGCCAATTCATGGCCAGCTAACCTTAGGTGCCCAGATGTTGATAGAATTTAATATAACAATTACCGCTGAAGATACTCGAGCGCACGTACTAGATACCTGTTATCCCTGGGATAACAACTCGTCCATCGGAGAATATTAGATATGAAATGGAACGCCAAGAATACCGATCTTAGCCGATCGGAGCTATCCCCAATGTAGAACGTCCTTTCGATTCCCAAGGTCCCACTCCCTTGTAGCGATCACGTGATACCGTGTGGTTCGTCGGCCCTCAACGCGTCATCAAGCCCGGAATTTTTCCATTGTGCTTCGTCCCAGGATCAGCCATCAAAGAAAAAGTTCGATTCGGAGGCTGAAGCATAGGTACATATACCCCGGCAAACTACCTAATTAAGGAAAAGTTTCAAGTTTTAGCCATGCCCCCGAGAAAGCGCACCGCGGCCGAGGCCGCGGCCGCTACTCCTACTACGCCCGAGGCCGGACCCGGAAGGGGCGCGCGTCGCAGGTCCGGGCGCGCAAGCGGCAGGACGAGCTCGTACTTTGAGGGGAATGGGAAGGACGACAACGACGACGACGACGACGTAGATGAGCTGGGGGATTCGAGGAGGCCGAGGAAGGTGGCGAGGGTGGAAGCGAAGGCGAAGTCGCCTCGTCGGAAGGGGAAGGCGAAGGGGAAAGTGGAGTCGGAGTCAGATGAGCTGCAGCATGAGGATGCGAACGAGAAGGAGAATGAGGAGGAGGATTCTGACGAAGACGAAGGGGGGGATGGAGATGACGGTGCTGATGATGGCGACGCGTATGAGGAGTATAAAGATGCGAACGTCGAGGATGACGACCCAGGCGACGACGACGACGATGATGATGATGATGATGATGATGATGAGTCAGAAAGCCAGCCGCCGGTGGTGCAGAAGCGCGGGCGTGGAAGGCCGAGGACTGGGGCTACGCCGGTGAAGAAAAATGGCAATGTCAATGCGAAGACGAAGACGGAGACGAAGACGAAATCCGCAGCGAAGCCCAAGGCGAAGGCGAAAGCGAAAGCCGAATCGGAGGAGCCCGAGGTCGAGGACGAGGACGATAGCGACGACGATGAGGAAAATCGCATTACCTTCATCCCAGGTAAGTGCAATGCTATCTCAGGGCTTCCCATCGGGACATAGGCAATGAAGTGATTTACTTACACCGGATATCGCAGCGGTCCAATTAAGAGACCTCGACGGTGTCGATTATGAAGACACCAAGCTTCACAAGAACACGTTCCTATTTCTCAAGGACCTCAAGGCCAACAACCAGAGGAACTGGCTAAAGAGTATGTAGACCACCGTTGACGGAGTATAGACCTTGAATTCGTACCTTGGTAGTATGATTTTCTAACTTGGGGCACATCTTCAGCCAACGATAAGGAATACAGGAGGTCGCTCAAGGACTGGGAGTCGTTCGTGGAGACCCTGACCGAGAAGATCATCGAGGCCGACGAGACGATCCCGGAGCTGCCACTCAAAGACGTAATATTCCGTATATACCGTGACATACGATTTAGCAACGACCCCACGCCGTATAAGGTGAGCTTTTTTATCCCCTCCCCCCCTTCCCTTAACATATCTTACTATATAAAGTAGTTGAGATGAGAGTTTTCGTTTTTTTTTTTTTTTCTAACGTGTCTGATAAATGTAGCCTCACTACTCGGCGGCGTGGTCGCGCACGGGCCGCAAGGGCCCTTACGCGTGCTACTACGTGCACGTCGAGCCCGGTAAGTGCAGGGTCGGCGGCGGCCTCTGGCACCCGGACGCGCCGTCGCTGGCCAGGCTGCGCGCCAGCGTCGACGAGCGACCCCAACGCATCCGCCGCGTCCTGGCCAGCCCGGCTTTTCGCAAGACGTTCCTGCCGGGCGCCAGGGCCGACGACGAGAAGTCCGTGGTGACGGCGTTCGCCGCGGCGAACAAGGGGAATGCGCTGAAGACGAAGCCCAAGGTATGTGTAGCGTTTGTGATGTGGGATGGTCGGAGGGATCGGCGGAAAGATAGGCACTAACTTGGATATGCATAGGGGTTCACTCCCGATCATAGGGATATCGAGCTCTTGAAGCTGCGCAATTATACCGTCAGCAAGAAGATTCCCGATTCGGACCTCCTCGCCAACGATGCGCAGGATAGGATTATGCGCATAATTACGCCTATGGTGGAGTTTGTAAGTATCTGCTTCGTTGACTTTGACTGTGAATATGTTTGAGTATCCAGAGCAAGACTAATCGTTGGACTCCGTGTAGGTCACGTTTCTCAACAGTGTCGTCATGCCGGATCCCGGCGCCGATAGCGATTCGGACGAAGCTGACGACGTCGGCGATGCTGAGAATGGCGACGAGCCGGATGATGACAGCGACGATATATAGTTTCTACGCTAGAGTTTGACATGGTCGGTACATGTGTGGAACCACTCGTCTTGTACTATTAGAGACGTCGGCCACGAGTTGTCACCAATGATGAGACGGCTTGGTTGGTCTCCTGTATACTATATCGGTTTTGTGTATGTACGATAGATTGGGAGCTAGATGCCTGTACTACTAGCTGTTCCTTTACAGCAAGAGATTTGAGTAGCGGTATAGGCGAAAACATACTCGTTACCAGTGTCCCATATAGTCGATCTCTGTTACGATATGTCGAATCGCGAATCCCTCATCTACCTATACTTACCTACCTAAGCTAGTGTTCAGGTTGGTGTCCACAATCAACGGCGCCAAACAAGACGCTTGATTGCCGTAGCGCCTCGTAGGCGCCATGCTAACGCGGTCCCATTCTGTCGGGCCAGGGCCAAATGAAGTCCCACTCGCTTATACCTGACACACGCAAAGTATCTGTACCGTAACGAAATGTGGAATATTTCCATGGTGTTATTTGAATCCACCATGCCGCTTGAATCATCATCCCAATGACACGCCGCCTTACTTGGTTTCGAGTTAGTCTCGATTGGTCTAGTGGTCAGGATACCTGCTTGTCACGCAGGTGGCCGGGGTTCGATTCCCCGATCGAGAGCGATTCATCTTTTTGCACGTTTCCTTACCTCTTGTGGTAGCTACCTCCTTTTATCTCTCTAACTCTTTCCAAAATGTCTCTGGCCTCTCTTCCTTAGAAATTTGCGTTCAACCATTCCGGGTAGGTATTGCCACACATTCGTCCATTCCATTCATGCCTATCAGTCGTAATATCTTCAGAGAGCCTTCCAAACACTTCCTTGATTCCTCCATTCAATCCAATAAACCTGTTGACAGACTGGGAGGTAAGTCCTCGTTCCGGGTCCCCCACTCGCTTTCCGTACTGCCCAGTACGAAGTCAAGCACACCGCCATTAAGGAAAAAGTCGTGAGTGATCCAGTTACGGGTGTACGGCTTGCCGTTGAGCTTAGCGCTCTGGATGTAGATGTTATCGTAGCGCGGCGCGTCGAAGCCGCCGACGTTGCGCAGCGTGGCTAACTTGCCCGACGGCGTCTGCAAACTCACCTGGCGGAACATGGGCGCCGTGAGTAGATACACGTCCTGACCTGCGACCGGGTAGAATCCCATGAAAGCGAAGGCCGTGAAGGCACCCATCGCGCAGTCGTCATTGCCCGGGATGCCGTTAACGCTGGCGTTGAACTGGCCGGGGATGTACTGATGCAACCAGTAGCTACTCCGCCCGGGACGCCCAGCGTAATGGAACTGGAACACCGTCAGGAAGTTGGGCTCGTTGCCCATGTAGTTGATGCCCGAGGAGTGGAAGTAGTCGAGCCGCTCGACAAAAGTGTCGTGGCCGCCTAGAGCCTCGATGAGACTCGCCATGTCCTGCGGGACGTAGAACGTGTAGAGCCACGGGCTCCCCTCGTAGGTTTCATATTGCGTATCGAAATAGCAGACGTGCTGCTGGTATATTGGGCTGCAGAGCCGCGTGTTTTGATATCTCCATGTGCCGTTGCGGAAGCGCGGCTGCATGAAACCCTTGAAATCGGACATGATCACACGCCCGTCTTCGTCCCGGTATCTGTCATCCTGCTCCGGGTTGAATAGGTTCTTCCAGTTGCGGCTGCGCTGTAAGTATTTGGTCTCGTCGCCCTTGTGGCCTAGCCCCCGCGCCATCAGCGCAATCACGAAGTCGTCATACGCGTATTCTACCGTGCGCGAGATGTCTCGGCTCATGGGACCTGTGCCGTTACTGTCTATATCATCATACGGTATGTATCCTAGCTCATGCCAGCTCTCAAGATTTCCGCGGCCGGAGGTTGACCAGTCTTTGGGCTCCACCTCTGCGTCCGAGACGACGGCTTCGTACCCGAGGTTCCAGTCGATGCCTTCTGTTAGATTCTTCAGATACGCATCTGCAAGTACAACGTCTGCATTGGAGCCGCCTTGCGTATAGCCCTTGCTAAAGCTCATCCGACAGTCTGGAAGCTTCCCTTCGTGCTTGTACGTATCGATCAGCGACCTCACCATCTTGGTCTGCACCGCCGGGTCCATAATCGTCAGCAGAGGATGCTGCGCTCGGAACGAATCCCAGATGCAGTAGAATGAGTCGTAATAAGGTTCACCCGACTCCCATAGCTGATTCTCCCCCGTGTAGTTCTGCGGTGAGATGAGCGCGCGGTAAAGGCCCGACCAGAACGTCGTCAAGAACTCGTCGCTTAAGCCTGAATGATCGGGCTTAATTACCGAAAGCTTCTCTTTCCACGCGTTCTCGCTCGCTTTGACGATACCCTCAAACCCAAAATCCGGAACCTCGGTCTCTGCGCTGTGGCAGGCTTGCTTCACGGAGATGAAAGAAAGCCCGACCCGCGCCATAATCTGACCCGAAGCCGGCCGGTCGAAATGGATCCAGCCGCCTGCGGAGCCAGATGGGATGGAATAGTTGGTTGCCAGCTCGCCGAACGCCTGAACCTCATCCGTCGCATTGGATAGCAAGAATGTGCCCGTCTTGCGTATCTTGGCGCCCGTAAAGTCCGCGCAGAAGTGAGCCGAGTAAGCCCCCGTTCCAAATGAAGGGCTGAATGACCCATTCCCCGTTATCCTTCCTGTCTCAGGGTCTACCTGAACATCGCCCCCGCTTCTTGAATTCCCCAAGTCAACTAGATCAAGGAGGATTAGCGGACTATTGGGGACTTTGGCATTGTGAGATTCGACCTCGGCTTCTTTAGCGAAGCTAAATCTATAGAGCGTGGTATGCTCGCTCGCGGTCATCTCGGCGTAGACCGTGTTGTTGAGACCAATGGCGAAGTAGCCCGGTCGTGCTGTTGCCGAGCCCTCTATCCTCGGGACGGCCCTCCCTATAGTTGTGTACTTGCACTGAGCGAAATCATCCTCGGGGCATCCTGGATGCACAAATAGAGGGAAGTTCCCTAACGAGAGGCTCTGCTGCCAGTTAGAATTGCGGAGTTGGTGAAAGGTAGTGAACTCACTCCTCCGGTACCTAATGATTTGTTAGCATGATTGTCTGTGACGACTGAACTTCCTACTTGCCTGAATCGTGCAAATGGGAGAAGCCCTGGATTTTGGAGTTATCCGAGACAAACCCCGCAGCTGCCTCAGCTTGGTTATCGCTGTCGGCGACGGCTTTTGCCATGCCTACATGATGCGTGAGTAGGGCGGTTTCAGTGCACTGTCGCCTGAATCACTTACCATATGGCAGGGTGGCGCCGGGAAAGACATGGCCTGTGACAGTCAAGATAAGCGACTTATATCCAGCCGTATTGGTACTTGTGTCACTCGCTTACCTCCATTAACGGTGCCGATGAGAGGGTCGATATATCGCAAGATTTTGTCGCTAGATTTTTCTGATGAGCCCTTGCTAGAGTGGAAAAGTGATCTTGGAGAATTCAACCTAGCGGGCGGGATCAGAGCCCAGACCAGCAGCGCCAGCACCGGGATGACGATAAGAAACCGCCGGAACCGGGGTAAACTCTTGAGAAAAGGCATCATGACGATTCGAGAGCCCAGACAATCGCTTCGCTCGGCAGCCCTAACAATTGCTATGTGCCGATGTTAGTCGACGCCAATGCGGATGCGATTATGATCGCAAATGCTATGGGCCCCAGGTAAATACCAACCTTGTCATGGGCCAGCGACGCGGGTCTGATCACTTTTCGTCGTCTCCTTCGCCTCGAGTTTACGCCGGTCTGGAGATACATTCATCGGGACTCGAGCGGAAGAGAGCTGAGATTATATAAATATGTCCGTCCAGATAGTCAGGGTCGTTTTGTCTAGGACCACTGTTGACAAGGTGGCTAATCGATGTAACCTAGAGTTCTGAAATGGTAGAGTTCTGAAATGGAAGGTCTCGTCGCGCATCCTTGGCAATTAGGAGAATTTGGCTGAATTGCATCTGGCCAGGGCCCATCCACTATTTTCGGGCGCCGCCTCGGCAGCTGTGTTGTCCTGGCCGGTCCCTGGTCCCACACCAACGGGTACCTACCTCCCAGCCCCTTGCCTTACAGCTGGCAGTGAGCCCTTCTGGCCCTTCTACAAAAAGTGGATAGTCCATGCATGGGTTCTTGATTAACCTAGATGCTAAATCAGGTATCCAGATACAAGTATCTAGATGCCAAGTATGTTAATATCTTAGTTACCTCTTAATATTTAGTTGGTAAACTGAATATAAGAAATTATATTGAGTGTATCAATTTACTTGATATTCAAGGTTTCTATTTTTAGATGGGTAGGTACTTATGGATCTTTTCGAAAGGATACCCAGACCTTCTTGGATAGTAACTCGCAACAACCAAGTCTCCAATCATCCTCGTCTCAATATTGTTGCAATGGAACGTCTTGCTCCGCTTCAGGTCTTTCTTGGAAATATGTCACACCCCACAGTCTGATACAGTGTTAAGATACGGCTAACGTAAGACGGAGGTCTCCGCCACTTCTATCTTGAGTTTCACAATATAACAATACCTTCCTCTCGCCCATTGTACTTGCATAAGACCTCCGAGTAAACTCGCCAGATAGTAACTTTTACGGATGTCGTGACTATATAGGTACTCTCCTATTTGTCAGTACTCAAAGTTGAATTACAGGTTCCAAGTAAAATAATCTGAGTATGAAAAGAAAAGAACTATCATCTTAATGTTTCGATTTGAGAGTCGCCGCTACGTATCTGACTCACACCCCAACCTTTAAGGCAAGGCATACTGCACAAAAAGCACCATGCGGCCGAGGAGCCTTTGAGAGGTTAGAAGCATTAAGAATAGTAAATAGTATTCCAAGGATATGCAATATGCTGGCTGGCTTCGTGGTGGGTGACTGGTGATATATGTCGACCTATGGTGGAATGGCATCACAGGTAGGTATCCTATCAATACCATTTTCATATTATATATTTAGAAAGTTACGCAGTGTTATACTAACAGCGTCGCACTTAATAGACAGCTACTCATACCTACCTATTTGGCGATGTAGCTTTTGGGTGGCGGCTATGTCAGCGGCGTCATCGATCTCTCCCATTTGGGGAGCAATTGGAGAATAGTGAATACCTCCCACCAACCTACCTGTGTACGTCGTGTAGCCACACCGGCCTAACCAGCCTCACATTGACCCATCTCATTCATAGGTAGGCTTACGAGGCAAAACCTTTCGGTTTTGACAGGCTTTTCTCATTTAAGTATGGGCTAGGTCTATAATAGTCTGTCTTTAACGCGTCCATATTCCCTCTTAACCTCTTCATAATACCTTGAGGGCCCCTACTAGTTATCCACAATGAATATTAGTGGTGCATTGAAAAACCAGCAGCAGAGGGCTTATCTGGTCGTGGCACTTGTTTTCACTCCTCTATCAGTGTTGGCCGTTATTTTGAGGTTCTGGGCTACTAAGCGTTCTGGCCGAAAGCCTCAAACTGAGGACTGGCTTGCCCTACTTTCATTAGCAGTCTATCTAGCATTCGGCGGAGTGAATCTGGCCGGTATGTCCGTCCTAGATTATAGTTGGTACCGTTTCCCAGAGATTGATCTAATGCTATCCCCAAGATGCCGGGGTCTCAAATGGTCGAAGTCCGTTAGTTCTCATCGAGACGCCAGA